TGGTATCGCGGATTAGTAACGTATCGCACGAAAGCATGGGTGTGTGACACTTGGAGGGTCGTGCGAGGACGATGGGGGTAAGAATCGGCGGTCGCCATGCTTTTGAACAGAGTATGGTGTCGGATGCCGATTGGTTATATGCTCCATTGTAGGTGTTATGGGTATGGTTGCGGTAACCGCCACGTGTCTTATGGGTGATGCATACTGGGTGTAGGGATAAGCGGATGAGGTATGAGCTGGCGGTGTTGGCGACGATGGCGATATGAGGATTGCGAACATGTAACGCAGCGTGCGAGTTTGTGGAGAGACGACACTTGTAGTGACGGGATTGCGGTTTCGGCCTGAGCAGGGGTGCTGTGTGTTTGGTTGCAGTTAATGCTACGTGTCATGTAGTGGCTGCATTGTGGTGGTAGAGATGAATGGATGGGATGTGATGGTGTGATGGTGGCGGGATGCGCGATTTTCATCGCGCGAAGGGGTAACGAATTGTGCGAGATTGTATGTTTGCGACACTTGTAGAGTCAGGATTGAGTTATAAGCACAAAGATCGTACGGTGTAAGATGGCGTTCACTTGTGGAAGTGATCGCCTACGTGGCGGCGGTTGTTGAAGTAGTTCGCCACGTGGAGTTGCAGTACGGGTGGGGGCTCTTGTGATGCGTTTTTGCAGCTTGCTGGTGATGTCCTCGAGTCACTTACACATAGGATGTTGAGTAACTAGGCAAGCGACTATGGGGATGGATTTGGAAACCGCATACGTGTAGAGGTTTGCATGTAATAAGTATCCGGAAACAGCCCGTAAAGTGACGCAAAAGTTGCTGAACAAGTCACGCGTGCACCCACAAATTTGAACCTTGACTCTTTTCTTGCGTTTTCCAAGTAACCCTAGAGTTGCGGTTTCTTAACTTTAAAGTTTTTTTTCGCACTTCCCTTTTCCGCGATGTTGCCCACCCCCCGGATCGTAAACGCTGCTTCAAAGTCGAGCTGGGAGGGGGATACGAACAGATGGGATGGGATAGGGGAATACGTTAGTGAATATGAAAACTGGAATAAGAGGATAAGGGGTAGAGAGTTGGGAGCAGGCGAGCATGAGTATGAAATCAAGCTTGTCAGCCTGCCAGATTTGAGACGAGGCCTTCAAGTCAAGCTGATTGGGGGGGGGGGAGATGGGGAGACGAGAATATGTGATGGGGTAACGGAATATGAGAACGAGTGAAGAAGGAAATAACGTATGAGGGACAAAGGGGAAGAGTCGTTGAGAGCGGTCGAGCATGCCGATGAATGGAATAAGGGAGGAGTTTGTCAAGAAAAGGTCGTTGGGAAGCTTCCGACACGCATCGACAGATTCATTGACAAGTTGAGTGACTTGGAGAGCAATCAAGTGGAGCAAACAAGGTGACGGGTGGAGCAGACAAGTTGACGGGTACACTCTATGCCATGCTGTCTGGGTGCTGGCCATCGTTTAATGGAGGGGTGAGGCGATTGGATGAGAGCAGGGATTGGGAGGATTCCTGCTGGTGGTTTGTGTCGCAGCAGGCAAAGAATCTCGTCTGTCGGATGCTGTCGGTGGATCCTGAGATGCGACCTACGACTGAGGAGATTTTGAGCGATCCGTGGGTGAAGGGGCAAGGCGGAGAGATCGTGCGGTATAGGCCGACTCCTTTGTTGCAACAGGCCGTTTCAACAAGCAAACAGCGCCCTTTTCGAGCCCGAGGTCGTTGCAATTTGACTGCAATGACGCTAAGAGGAAAACCAGACAGGGGAGAGTCTGGGGCTGCTGCTGTGGGTGCAGCAGAGACTAGCAGCACATCATCTACAGGGGTGATGACAGTAGCTACACTGCAGTCGTACCCTTCACTTCACACACGTCTGTATCTTCTTCCATTATCTCTCCATCCTCCTTTCCTAGTGTCCAAGACCAAGAAGGATGCAAGCAGCAGGGTGGGTTCAGAAATTAGGTGGCAAGAGTAGGGTGTACAACAGTCAAAATCAGAGGGTAGCAATTATATTAAGCAAAGATTTGCCTGAGGCAACAGCCGTAGATAGTGAGGAGCTAGTTCAAAAGGGCTGAAATACAGCACTCCTAACCATGCTTTTTATGCATGCAGTGCTGTGAAACCTCAAGAACAAAACGAAGGAAGTTTTACAACCCACCAAATTTGTTTAAATAGAAGCAAACCGACAATCTCATACAAAAGGAAGTAAAAATCAACAGCCCACCAAGGTCACATTGAAAAAACCAGAAGCCCACCATATTTGTAAACAGCCCACCAAACTTGAAAACAGCCCACCAAACTTGAAAACAGCCCACTAAACACAAGAACGACACTGCTCCGATGCACTCCCGAAAGCAGGGAATGAAACCAACGAGGAGTAAAAAGGTAATGGCTTCTCATCAAGTACAGCAGGTACAGCTCCTCTGCCTTCCTTCAGCTTGACTTGAGGCCTTCATCAAGCCACCCTTCAGACGCAGCTTTCCTTCAGGACTTTTCGGGGAAGGGCCCAGCAAACTCAAGCTCGCATTCCTGCATTCAAAGGACGATGATTGGCAGCAAATGAACCACAGGAACCAGAGAATTAGAGAACGAGTTCCAGGAGAGAATGAGGGATCTGTACTAGAAAATAAGACAGGAAAAACGTGTGCTCTTTACCAGGGTGATTCACCCTTTGTATGCTGAATGAATCAAGTTTGAGGCAAGACTAGATACAAAGATAGAGAACAGGGGTGAGAGAGGACAGGGGTGAGAGAGGACAGGGGTGAGAGAGGACAGGGGTGAGAGAGGACAGAGGTGAGAGAGGACAGGGGTGAGAGAGGACAGGGGTGAGAGAGGACAGGGGTGAGAGAGGACAGGGGTGAGAGAGGACAGGGGTGAGAGAGGACAGTGGTGAGAGAGGACAGGGGTGAGAGAGGACAGGGGTGAGAGAGGACAGGGGTGAGAGAGGACAGGGGTGAGAGAGGACAGGGGTGAGAGAGGACAGGGGTGAGAGAGGACAGGGGTGAGAGAGGACAGGGGTGAGAGAGGACAGGGGTGAGAGAGGACAGGGGTGAGAGAGGACAGGGGTGAGTAGGGGTGTAATCGGCGTTCACATACGCAAAACACAAGAGACAGTTCAACCAGCAGATGCACATGTGATTTCAATTGTACGTACCTATTAAGGACTCCACTGATCTATCCCACCATGACCGACAGGATCAAAGTTTGCAATCGCAAAACACGCGCCACAGTTGAGCAGGGACATGAGGGAAGAGTCCTGGCAGTGCAATTCGATGCACTCCTCAGTACTTGGACCTGAAAGGAAGTAGCAACACCGATAGGTATAATGGCATTAGGACCTGAAAGGAAGTAGCAACACCGATAGGTTTAATGACATTAGGACCTGAAAGGAAGGAAGTAACAACACTAGTACTTGTTGAAGGAAAAGGTACGGTGCTACTAGCACTGGAAAGGGAGAGAAGGGAGCGAGAGAGAGGGAGAGGGGGTGACAGAGAGGAAGCGAGAGAGAGGGGGCGAGGGAGAGGGAGGTTTAGGGGAGAGAGTGGAAGAGAGAGCGAGGAAGATACAGAGAGAAAATGTGCAATTGTAGGGTGGTAGATTGCACTTACAAGTCCCAATACCGTCGAGATTGACACATACTGCACCGTCGCACTGTGTGACTGCGCATGTTCCTGAGAAAGAGAGAAAGAGAGAGAGAGAGAGAGAGAGAGAGAGAGAGAGAGAGAGAGAGAGAGAGAGAGAGAGAGAGATAGAGAGAGAGAGAGAGGGAGAGGGAGAGAGTGAGAAAGTCGGAGGAGATGAGAGAGGGCGAGGAACGTGAACTACTATGACTGGGAAAGGGGACATGAGCGTGAGCGCTTGGCAGAATTTTGAGTCGACTCAAAGGTCACTTTGAGTCGACTCAAAGGAAAGGGGACATGAGCGTGAGCGCTTGGCAGAATTGGAGGTATTCTGCCAAGCAGTGCTGCAAAGAACAAGCACACTACGCACCTGTGCAAATGCCGTTGTGCCGCGTGTATCTTTTTGCGCAGTAACAGACCGCACCATCATTCTTGTCGACACATACTTCAGTCTCGGAATTACAAGGGTATGACTCGCATGTCCCTGGCAGAAGCGAGGGAGAATGGAAGGTAGTTTTGAGAGTGGGGTATAGAGAGACAAAGAGAGCATAATTTAAAACGTGGGATATAGAGAGACAAAGAGAGCATAATTTAAAACGTGGGATATAGAGAGACAAAGAGAGCATAATTTAAAACGTGGGATATAGTTTTGTGCCATACAGAGAGCTGGTTAGACCGTGTAGAGAGATGGGATGGATCCAGTTAAATGAAGACCGATGAGCGTGCAGGGAAAATGCGAGGCAGACAAAGACGCACGTACCTTTACAATTCGGCGGCGCGCCTGTGTATTCGGGCTCCCTGCAAACGCATTTTCCACCGTAATCCGTTTCTTTGCAACGTTCCAAGGGGCCACACTTCGTGAATATGCATTGTGCTGGCAGTTGTTGGTTGGCAAAATCATCAACGAGGGAGAGGGGAGGGGGAGGAAGAGAAAGAGAGAGGAAGGGGGGAGGGGGGGGGGGGACGGGGGGGAGGCGGCTGAGGGGAGAGTGTCGGCAAGAGACAATTGCTAGACACGGCATCCATTAGCAGGGGTTCTTGCAATTTAATGGACTTGGTACAAACAACTTCCGAATCACATGATGGACTCCTCTCCTTCTGTTCCGTGCTCTCTATACTAGCTTGTACGATACAGAGAGCGTGTGTGAGAGCACAGTGCGTGAAGGTGACGACAGGCTACGTACGAGGGCATGTGTGAGAAGGAGTTTTCATGTATCCAAACTTGCAGTTTTGAGACGTCTCAGAATACGTACGCGCGCAGGTGCGATAAGGAGTTTGCATGTATCCGAACTTGCATCGGCAGTAAGACGTGTCTTGATTCTCCACACACTCCTCGTTGAGACCACAGACTCGTATTGAGCACGGCGCTGGCAGATGGTGGGAGGATCAATGGGGAGGAGAGGGAGAGGGAGAGGGAGGGAGAGAGAGAGGGAGAGAGGGAGAGAGGGAGAGAGGGAGAGAGAGGGAGAGAGGGAGAGAGAGAGGGAGGATCAATGGGGAGGAGAGGGAGAGGGAGAGGGAGGGAGAGAGAGAGGGAGGGAGAGAGGGAGGGAGAGAGGGAGAGAGGGAGGGAGAGAGGGAGAGAGGGAGGGAGGAGAGAGGGAGAGGGAGAGACGGGGGAGGGAGAGAGAGGGAGAGACAGGGGGACGCTGGCACATGGTTGATTTGAGATGCTACCTTGCCCACATCGACCACGGGTTTGCATAGGCATCGATAAAGAAACGACTTGAGAGGGGAGAGAAGAGGACAATCCAGGGGGAGAGAACAGGAGAAGTACTTACGCTTGCAAAATCCTGGGACCCCGAGATATCCTGGCTTGCAGTTGCACGTTGGTCTGAGGTTTACCATCTCGCATACTTCGTTTTGACCGCATTCATAGACTGCGCATGTGGCTGGTAAGTGGGAGAGAGAGGGGAGAACGAGAGAGGTGGTGAGGGATAGTGAGGCGAGGCAGGGGAATGGACGGTGGTAGAGGAAGGAGGGTAATAAGAGGGAAAGAGAGAGATAATATGCAAGGAAAGTGAGAGGGAAAAAATAAGAGGACTGGAAAGCCAAACATACTACATACCATCACAGTATTTGCCTCGCGCGACGTATCCTGCAGCGCATTCGCAAGTCCCAGCGCCACCAGGGACTTTCTCCACACAGTGTTGGTTAGGGGGGCAGTAGAGAGCATTGCATGTTGCTGCAAGATGGATTTGATGATTGATAGGGAGAAGTGGGAGAACGATACAGGTGATGAGGAGAGAGCATGACAGAGAGGTTATGACAAACGAGCAAGATAGGCAGCAACGCGGGTGACGATGAAAGAGAGAAGAATATCAATTAGAGAGGCATTGCATAGGAGGGAGAGAAAGAAAGGCAAAGGACGCATGTGAGTTAAGAGAATAAAGTGAAAGAACAAGCACAGCACATACCAGCACACGATCCCGCCTGGCCGACGTATCCGCTCCTGCATTTACAGGTCGGCACACCTCCTACCATCGCACATTCTTCCAATGGTCCACAATTTATGGCTTCACAGGTGCCTGTTGGATGGATGGAGGGAGACAGGAGATGGGAAGAGGGGAAGATGGGAAGAGGGGGAGAGGGGAAGAGGGGAAGAGGGGAAGAGGGGAAGAGGGGAAGAGGGGGAGAGGGGGAGAGGGGGAGAGGGGGAGAGGGGGAGAGGGGGAGAGGGGAAGAGGGGAAGGTGGGAAGAGGGGGAGAGGGGGAGAGGGGAGAGAAAGCAACCAACATCGCCACTAATGCAATGACCTTTGGCAGGGAGCGTGCTGGTGTGGATGTGGCATTGGAGCAGGAAGGGATGAATATGTGGGTCAGCCACGCAAGTGAGGCAGCGAAGTGGAGAAGGGAAACGCAGGAAGGAGCAAAATGACAGAAAGAGGACATCAGGAGAGGGGAGAAGGGTCAGGGAGTGGAATGTGCACGAGTGAATGATAAAGGGAAGGCAACGGGTCAAGTACCAGGACCCTTCTTCTGGCAACGGTAAATGAGAGCATCAGGACTTGGATATATGGACCATCACGTACTAGGGCAGGCTTGAATGCTCATCTGGGAGTTCCAAACACAGTCACGCGGACAGTTAGCCGGGCAGTTAACTGCAACAGAATCCAAGAGGGATAAAGAGGTACAGGTGCAAATTAGCAACAGAATGAAAGCAAGACGATCTGCTTTGCTGCCAAAGCAGACAATCTGTCTACCTTCTCTCAATCACCAGCAATTGTCTAGAAAAACCACATCTGCCACGTGACTACTCCCCATTTGCTATGTGACCAACAGTGGCTAGATAAGCAACTTCACCTCGCCTTTATCACAGCGATCAAGAGTAACCATCCTCATTACTCCCCAATGGATGATCATTGGATGGACGATGATTGGATGGAACGTGTGTAAGTTGCTGAGCAAACGCACCTTTCTTACAGACCGGATAAAGTCCAGATGTGTCACAAAGGTATCCATATGGACAGGGCATGGCCGGGCATGATACTGGCAGATGGAGGGTGGAGATTGAGTATGATGAGAGGGAGAGAGGGGAGGGGAGCACGGGTTGGCAGGGAGGGGAGGTGGAGAGGGAAGGGGAGATGGGGGGTTTGAAGAGTTCATATGGTTAAACACCAAAAGGTTAGCTTTGATGAACACCACACCACAAGGCCAACAAAGCTTGTTGGGCAATGCCTCAGATCCAGAGAAATAAAAACAGAGATAACGGGGTACATAGGGAAAAATAGAGAAAGAACTGCCACGGGTTTTTTTTAATCCATTGTACGTACGTACGTACCTATGCAATTTCCTGAGACTGGATCCGGTGTGTAGCCATCGTTGCACTTGCAGTATTGAAAGGGCGGATTGTTGTTCCACCACCACCAGTTGTCATATTTCTCAACGCAATTGCCATCACCACAGTTGTCAGTGGTGCATTCGTCACGAAGAAAGTCTGGACACAGATGGAGAGAAGACAGGAGTGTGTAAGCAGGTCAGGCATGCGGGATGGGACACCCACCACCCTTCCATAAATCAACAGAGGCAAACCAGCAGGTGTTTTCTGAGTCCTCTGAAAATCACCTGCAATCCAGCAGGGGGAATGGTACTTATTCAAATGGGATTGGCTTGAAAGACACATCAAACTTTTCCTGATTGCTCAAACTGAGCTGTGGTAGGTGTTTTGAGTCGACTCAGAACACGACTCAAACTGAGCTGTGGTAGGTGTTTTGAGTCGACTCAAAACACGACTCAAACTGAGCTGTGGTATTGTGCAAGCGCACGCCATATATATACAGGCCATGAACATATCCAAGCAAGCAAATTATTTCCGTGAGCCACACAAACCTCATTCACACCACTGCTTGACTTCGGATGAACCTTGAGAAAGAGGTGAAGAAGGAGAGGGGGAGAGATGAAGATGGTGAAAACGGAGTACAGATACCAGCACATTCGTACGAAAATCGTAGCACAAAGGACAGCACATAGGTACGAAAATACCAGCACAAGTACGAAAATACCAGCACAAAGGACAGCACATACGTACGAAAATACCAGCACAAGTACGAAAATACCAGCACAAGTACGAAAATACCAGCACAAGTACGAAAATACCAGCACAAAGGACAGCACATACGTACGAAAATACAAGCACATAAATACGGAAGCACCAGCACATAAAACACCAGCACATACATACAGACATACCAGCACAAAGGACAGTAACACATGCGTACGTACCAGCACACTCCCCGTTCTGGCAATAGTATCCAGCCACACACTCGCATCTTCCAGCGATCCCGTTTGGGAGGTCACGTAATTAAAGTGTATTTTTGAGACGTGTCAAAAGAACATATGTACGTACCAACACACTCCCCGTTCCGGCGATAGTATCCAGCCACACACTCGCAGCTTCCAGCGATCCCGTTTGGGAGGTCTTCAAAGCATTCTTCCAAGTCACCACACGGCTTTGGACTCCACGGATCGGCCAGAATTTTGCATGTGGCTGGCAGATGGTTGGTGAGAGGGGGTAGATTGGATTGTGCAAAGGTAGAGAGAGAGAGAGGGAGAGAGTGAGAGAGAAAGAGAGAGAAGGGTGGGGGGGGGTTCTGAGATACTCCCTCCCTTCTCAAATCTCTCCTATCAAAAGCAATTACAGTGCAATCTCAGCAGGACCCGTGGGCCCCACACTCTTGGCATGACCCGTGGGCCCCAGCATATGCTGCGTTGCGGCAGACCTAGGTTGCGGAGGGTGACAGGGAGGAGGGAGAGTTTCAACCAAGCAACACCCCCTACCCCTCCTATCCTAGCGACAGATTGGCAGAAAGGAGGGGTAGGGGGTGTTGCTTGGTTGGAAGTACTCTTGTGTAGTCTGGGGGGGGGGGGGGGGGGCTGTCATAGGCAAGGAAAAAAGCAAGAGGCCGCGTGGTTTATGGCATATGAGTTGCTTCGCTTTGTCTAGCTACATCAGTCTTACTTGCCAACGCTTGTACCCGTTTGCCTATTCTAAAACATGACCGCTTGAGAGGAACGAAGGGAGACTGGCATAATTGAAAAAAAGCACACGTACGGGCACAAACGTGTGTCTCTCTGCGAAGGTACCCGTCCTTGCACACGCATTTAGCATGGGTCCGTTTTTCCATGCTTGGAGGAATGCAGTCTTCTTCTGGGCTGCAATTCACGTCAGGGTGATCACATGTTGCTGGAGGATGGATGACACGAGAGGGGAGGGGGTATGCAGGAGAGAGGGAGGTGAGCACGTGTTCTCTAGTGGCGTTCAGCTGTTGACATTGCACATGTCAGCATGCAGTTTGGACTGAGCAATGAATTCTTAGGAGTTAACACAAGTTTATCTTAGAGTTGAGATGGCGGAAATATGGACGACTGCAAGTTGTAGGAGTAGTGGGAAAAACAATACAAGTCTAGTTTTGAGGCGCCTCAAAACTAGTAGTGGGAAAAACAATACAATTGTCGGAAGACTTCCCGTGCAAAGGCGGCTCAACCATTTCCTGTACTCCCATACACAACGAGTTGACTTTTGAGTCGACTCAAAAGTCAACCCCGTGCAAAGGCGGCTCAACCATTTCCTGTACTCCCATACACAACGAGTTGACTTTTGAGTCGACTCAAAAGTCAACCCCGTGCAAAGGCGGCTCAACCATTTCCTGTACTCCCATACACAACGTACCGAGACAAGATCCAGGCTCGCCAATCATGTGATCGCCACATGTGCAGGTAATATCGTCACGACAAACGGCTGGGGGCCAGCACCACCTTTCCCAGCACTTATCTGGCAGATGATTTGTGGGGAGAGGACGGGAGAGATAGAGAGGGGGAGAGCTATCAATTATAGCTATGGGGCACATCAGGAATGCTTCTTGAATAGGAAGAGAAGGGGGAGTGAAGGGGAGGGGGGAAGAGAGAGCGAGGGAGTTCACATACGCACCGATGCAAGTCCCATTTGGCAGCTGGACGGTGCCGTCCATAAAGCAAATGCAGATGGCTTCTAGAGTGACAGGGTCATGCTCGCACACTCCTCGCTCACCACAGTCCTTAGTTTCGCAGTCATCTGATAGAGAGGGATGGAGGACATAAGAAAGGGAGAAAGGTAGAGAGAGGTGAAGAAGAGAGTGCAAATTGGGGGATGAGGACGAGTATGGGGGATGAGAGGTAGAGAGGAAGGGGATGAGCGGGGAGAGACTCAGTGCAACATCAAGAGATTACCTATTGCTATGCTATGCTACAAGAGACTGCTTATCAACATCGAAACTGCTTTGCTATGCTACAAGAGAGACTTAGTGCAACATCAATGAAAAGGTATGCTAAGTACCGACCGACACAAAAGGCAGGTTTGCAAGTGTATCCAGGTACTGAATTGCATACACAGGTTGCTTGCTGCAGTGCCATACTTCTCACAAGCTTTGCCACCATTCTTGATTGCGCATGCATCTATCAGGCGGTTGGTTGCAATCTCTCGACAGCTTTGAGGAGCTACAAAACTACACGTGTGATCTGTCTCTTACCGAGGGTGAAGGAGGGAGGAAGCACCAAGTAGGCGTCACGAAAAGCAAAGGAAACCACCAATACACACCTCTGCAAGTGCCATCAGACTGCATGGTAAAGCCGGTGCTGCACTGGCAGGATGCCGTTCCAGATACAGGGTCCTTGATACACACAGCCGAGTCATGGCATCCCTTGAAATTGCAGTTATCTGACAGGGAGGATGCAAAAAACAACAGTTGGAAAAACGCAAGTACCATTTGAGAAGGAAGGGAGGTATTCGACCACCCCAAAGCTCTATCTCACGGTACTATCAGGAAATGCACGGCATGGGGGAAATGCATTTTGTGTGAATTTTTTACTCTCAAAATCCAAAAGGTCAAATGCTCTACAAGTATTAATGATGCCAACTTGCCAAGCATGGAACAGAACGGAAAGAGGAAGGCGGGCAAGAAAATGCACGAGAAAGAGGATGAAGTAGAGCCATTCCAACCAGCTGCCCTGAGACGTCTCGAAATGTCACGTACCAGCGCAATACATGTCTTGAGCAACGTCTCCAACGCAGCTAGAACCTAAGTCACAGCCCGTGGCGATGCATGTTGCTGGCGAAGGAATGGAAGGAAGAGAGAGGGATCATGGGGAGAGGGGGGGGGGGAAGGGGGGAGGCAGAATGGAGAGGGGGGACCGGCGGTTGTGCGTTCAAACACAGGACCATTTGAGAGAGGGCGGAGGAGGGAGGGTAAGGGGTGCTCCCATTG